GGAGAGGCCGGTCCGGCAGCGGCGAGGCCGGTTCCCCCCCACCAGCCCGCCCGGCCGCCCGGCTCCGAGGAGGAGGAGGCGGCGGCGAGGCCAGCTACAGAGTGTTTCCTGCGCATGCGCAGGGGACGCTCTGTCACTTTTGGGGGGATTTAAACATCCCCCCGAAATTTTTGTCAACTTTTTCGATTTTTGTGCACACGTGGGGACTGGCCCACGTGTGCAGAAACCTCCCCCTCCCCCCCAAGTGCCCCCGGAGCGCTGATTTAGCGATCCGCACTCAGGGGGAAACTTGGCTATTAGATATATAGATGTGACAGTTTTGAGTGTAATGGTTTATTATGATTTTTAAGCTATATTTATAACTGAATGTGAATCTTCTTCCTTCTAGTGATTAGAATTCTGATCACTACATGCTCAGATAAAGCAATTATTGTGAAATAAATAATTTACATTTTACAGCATTCATTGCGTGTGAGCGATAATAGAAGAGAATTTCTACAGAATTACTACAGTAAATGATTTTGCAAACATATCTTTATTGACTCTCTGTTATTTTTTGTCACAGATGTTGTTTTTGGATTTCCACTTCCTCCCGTGATCTCTCATTTTTGGCTTCCACCTGGAGGTTGGCAACACTAGGCAACACACAGTTCTCAAGACAAATGGTTTCTGGTATAAATGTGACAGTTCTCCTTCAAAAGAACTTCAAAGGAAGAATTCATTGGGAATTAGTTTAACATTGTCTTTAGGATTCCCAACCTCCAGGTGGGCCTCAAGAGCTTCTAGAATTACAGCTTCTCTCCAGACTGTGGAGATCAGTTCCCCCAGAGAAAATGGCTGCTTCGGAGGGTGGACTCTTTCTAACCTGCAGGGGACCCTCCCCAACCCAAAACCCTCCATCCCCAATCTCCATCGATAAATCTCCAGGAATTTCTAATTCAGAGTTGGCTACAGGGTTGCTAGGTCTGGTTTGGAAAACACCTGGAGACTTTGTGGGTGGATCCAGGAGAGGGAGGGGTTTGGGGAGGGGAACAGCCTCAGCATGGTACAATGCCATACAGTCCACCCTTCAGAGCAGCCATTTTCTCCAGGGGAGCAGGTCTCTGTGAGCTGGAGATCAGTTGTAAAAGTGGGCGATTTCCAGGCCCCACCTGGAGGCTGGCAACCCTAGGTGGCTACCTCAGGCATTGTATTTTCTTTAGTTGGATTTTATGTCCATCTCACCCTTTTATCTATTCATAGTTGAGTGGTCCTCACCCGCTGTAACAGTACTGATTAAGCTTTGGTTGGTTCTGGTTTCACAGTGACCTCCCCTTGTGCCTCCTCCCCATCCCAGCCTAGGGTTGCCAACTCCATGTTAGGAAATTCCTGGAGATTTGGGGGCAGAGTCTGGGAAAGGCAGGTTTTGAGGAGGGGAGGGACCTCAGCACCATATAATTTGTTGGGACATGGTCTTTGTGGCTGTTGTAAGTAGGATCCTATTATGTAATTTCTGTACCACTTCATGTGTCATGTGAATATACTTCTGCCATGCTTCAGTTCCTTCTGGTGGTTCCAGACTTCTAAAATCCGAATGCACTGTTTATTGAATGCCCCATTTTGATGATTGTACTTACTTATGTGCAATCTGCCCTGAGTCCCTGTGAGAAAGGCAGACTAGAAGGTAAAGAAAATAAATAAAATAAAAAATATAATGCCATAGAGTCCACCTTTCAAAGCAGCCATTTTCTCCAGGGGAACCTCCAGGCCCCACCTGGAGGTTGCCAACCCCAACCCAGAGCCCTTTCTGTTGATGTACTCTAAACACAAATGTACTGCTTTGGATACACAGAACAAAGTATGAGTCCAATGGCACCCCTAAGATCAACAGAGTCTAATTCTGTGCATAAGCTTTCATGTGCACGCAAACTTCATCAGATACATTGAAACAGAATTCTGCAACCATTACATATAGATAGAGAGAGGATGGGGGGGGAGTTAGTTGCCAGGAAGAAGAAGAGAAGAAATTGGATTTATACCCCGCCCTTCACTTGGAGTCTCAGAGTGGCTTACAAACTCCTTTCCCTTCCCCTCCCCACAACAGACACCCTGTGAGGTGGGTGGGGCTGAGAGAACTCTAACACAAACTGCTCTTTTTCAAGGACAGCTGTGCCAGAGCTTGTGACTGACCCAAGGTCACATCAGCAGGTGCAAGTGGAGGAGTGGGGAATCAAACCCGGGTCTCCCAGATTAGAGTCCGCACACTTAACCACTACACCAAAATAACTGGAGTCAAGATGTAGAAGTAACTGAGAGATAAGTATAGCTAAGATTGGATTAAACAGTTGGTGATACCTGTAAATAGCAGCAAAGATACAGAGAATAAAAGATATATGAGAACTGAGTGACTTAGCGTGTATTGTGAGATAAAAACCTGATAAGGCTATTAAGCCCTGGGGGTTCCATTCTCCTGAGTGTTGTAATAACTTGTAATTCAGCAGTCTCCCATTCTAGTCTATTTCTGAAATTCCTTTGCAATAAAACAGTGAGGTCCCCTGTTGAGTTGTCCTGGGAGGTTGAAATGTTCTCCAGGTTTCTCAGTTTTGTGATTCTTGATCTCAGATTTGCGTCCGTTTAACATTTGGCGTAGGGTTTGACCTGTTTGCCCTATGCAGAGAACTGAAGGGATATCCAGGAAGGCTTATACTGGAATATATACCAGTACTCTTTAAAGGTGCTACTGGGCTCCCCAGTCTGTATTAAGTTCACTATATGGGCCCACAAGATTGCAATTGTTGGGGACAAAGTCAAGAGCAGGAAAAAGAGCAGTGGAAAGCTAGTCACAGTGAGGCTGATAAAACGGGACACAGGCTATGGCAAATAAAATGCAAGTCTGTGGTCAGGCAGGCAAAAAGGGAATATGAGGAGCATATAGCGAAAAACGTAAAGACCAACAATAAAACTTTCTTCAAACACATTAGAAGCAGGAAACCAGCCAGGGAGGCAGTGGGGCCCTTGGATGACCAAGGGGTAAAAGGAGTACTGAAGGATGATAGGGAAATGGCTGAGAAACTAAATGCATTTTTTGCCTCTGTCTTCACTGTGGAAGATGAGAAGTGCCTGCCCACTCCAGAACCGCTGATTTCGGGAGGGGTGTTGAAAGACCTGAGTCAGATTGAGGTGACGAGAGAGGAGGTCCTAAAACTGATAGACAACTCAAAAACTGATAAATCACCAGGCCCAGATGGCATACATCCGAGAGTTCTGAAAGAACTCAAATGTGAACTTGTGGATCTCCTTACAAAAATATGTAATCTTTCCTTAAAATCTGCCTCCATTCCTGAGGACTGGAAGGTAGCTAATGTCACTCCCATCTTTAAAAAGGGTTCCAGAGGAGATCCAGGAAATTACAGGCCAGTCAGTCTGACGTCAATATCGGGTAAATTGGTGGAAACCATTATTAAGGAAAGAATTAGAAGGCACATAGATGGATAAAACCTATTGAGGCAGACTCAGCATGGGTTCTGTAAGG